TTTGGTTTTTGGTTTTTCTCCGGTACCGGGAACCGAACTCACGACCTTGCGCTTGCCAGGCAGGCGCTTTGCCGCTGAGCTAAATCCCCAGCCCCTGTCCTTCCTTAACTTTGGGCATTGGGTATTTTGTGTCAGCAACGAGAGAAAAGTAACCTAGACAGTGTCCGTGAGTTTTGGTGTATTGCACTGGCATTGTTGCCTAGTTCCTGGAGCTAGCTTACTTCTTCCTCAATTGCTTCTGTAACCTAGTGACTACTCAAGAGTGTATTAATTTGTTTGTTCATATAATTAGTTTTCTTTTGCCATTGATGTCTAGTTTCACTGCGTTATGGTCTGATAATATGCATAGCAGGGGCTGGGGATTTAGCTCAGCAGCACAGCACCTGCCTGGCAAGCGCATCATCATGAGTTTGATTCTCAGTACCGGAAAAAAACAAAAAAACAAAAACAAAAACAAAATACGCATAGTGTAATTGCAATTCTTTCGCATTTGCTTAACCATGCTTTGCAGGCTCGTACGTGGCCTGTTTTGGAGAAAAGTTCATGTGCTGCTGAGAACATGTGTCCTGTTGTCTGGTGGACCACAGCCCCTGGGCTGACAGAGCTGTTCTCGCCTGTTCACACCCAGGGGAGGTACAGATGCCTCTCCGGGCCGCTCCTCCACACAGCTCAAGGGAGCAGGCCCTGGCCAGAGCTGGACAGTGAGGTCCAAGGATAGCTGATCCGCAGGAAGGAAAGGTCAACAGAAAGCTAACAGCTAATGATGATTTTAGAAAAACCAGTGTACCAGAAGTTCCTCCTTATTTTACGGTACTATCAGAATTCTTCAGAACCTCCAGTCTCATGTTAGCGCATCCCTAAGGGAGTGTTTTACGGCTGCAGCATCTGAGCTCTTGCTTCCACGTGCCTGGTGCCGTGGACCTTCGTGGATGATCGTATTTTTACCGTTATCACTAGAAGCTTAGGAGGAAAAAAACTGCCTCTGCTCGAAAGACGAGCGCTTGAGCTTACTACTGTTTGCTTTCAGTGCCAGGGCGGGACCCAGAGCCCCTCACGCACGTAGGGCCAGCGCTCCGCCGCCCAGCGCGTTCCGGCCTGCTCTGAGCCCCCGACGGGCTCCGCCTCACGAACAGTAAGCGTCTCTCAGCGGAGCAGGTGTCCCAGCCCTGCTGGCGGCGCGGGCTGTGGCGGGCGCTCCCCGAGAGAAGCCCCCCGGGGTCCAGCGGTCCGGCCGGCTGGCCTGAGTCCTCTGCTCCTATTCCTGGTGGACGCACCGGGGAGTGGCTCGCTAGAAGCCTCTGACCTTCGAATCCCCGTTTTAATACCAAGTACTCCCAGAGTGAGCCCTGCATCTTTGAAGTCTGCAATGCCAACGCTCATCAAGGCAAAACTCGTCCAGCAGACCGCTGCCTCGGAGCCGCTGCGGGAGCATCCCGGCCCGGGTGGCCCAGCTCTGAGAACCAGTGGGCGCCCAAGCTGCAGCCCAAAACCACGGCTCTATCGCCCAGCGCCCACACCGGGACGCAGCCGGGGGCCTGAGGGTTCGGCTTAGAGGGAACAACTGTTACCGTGCTCGGCAGCGGGGGGAAGCGGCTGGCGTGACCAGGGGCTGTGTGCGCACGGCCGCAGCGTGCCTTAGGTGGGCCAGCACGGCCCTGAGCCC